GTTCAGACCATCTATACTTGAGCCAGAATTGCTTTGCAGACCAAACAAGAAAACCTTGCCACGTGGGTTCATTGACATGCAAGACAACACAACGTATGCATATCAGCAAGTCAGATGTCACAGGCACATGCTGTACAGCCGTCTGTGATAGCATAGGTCTAGAGGGTGCTGCAATCAAATTAATAGGGGACTTGACTTGTACCAGGAAACGTTAGTGGTAATCATAAATCCGGTGCCTTTGTTTGAGCTAAAAATGTTGCAGGCCCTCCATCGACCAGCATGACAAGTGGCCTCATGCTCACCAAAGACGCATCCTGCATGAGTGCAAAGGAAAAAATACCGCAAAAAATGTTTTACATACATTCTTATATTGTCACTCTAATCAACTTTTACTGATCCATCAGTAAGCGTAACTTCTAGTGCAATTACCTGCTTTTCACGTCCTGCATCCTCGGGGTGAGAATAGGGCCACAGTCTTCGCTGTGGTTCCTTCGGACTTTATACAGCATGCAGATGTCAGACTCTAATGTGCACTCAGTTCTGACTTCCCTCGGTAGCTGGCTCTGTGCAAGATTCGGTTGGACCAGCTGAAGCAGCTTGCCCCAGATCTTCCTCTTTAGCCATTGCTTGTTCGTTCTCGATTTGCACTAAATTGCTAACGACTTCCTCCATTTGGGTGGCTGCCTCCATAACAGCAGTTAATAGAGTGCGTGCATAAGCCAGCTGTTTAGCAGCCCGGGCCCGGCCCTCTGCTGCAGGTCCTAGTGGCGGTACTTCACCATGTCGCCACATCGTGACTTTGCTGGTTGTATGGGTTGGCACTGTTGCTGCTGATTTAGACTCAGACTGATCGGCAAAGGTCGCATTGAGTTTCTGCAGATCACGTGCACTGTAATTCCCGGACGGGTCAAACTGTTGGGCACACGTTTGTCCCGAGGGGTCCGAGTACTTTCTCTTGCCATGTAGGTTCTCTTCTCTTCGCGGCATAGACTTCATGGCAATTTTGTGTTCAAAGCCAGTCTTGAAAGTTTCGTGAGCTGCTGAACTACAGCGGGATTCTTTGTTCAGGGCTATGGTCCTGTCCGTCACCTTGCCTGAGCTATTGGTCAGATCAGTGAAGTACCAGCACGGTGTACGATTTGCCAGGATATTATGTTCATGCATCCTGTCGACATAAAAATGATTCAATTTCTCACTGTGTTGGTGGTTCGTGATGACGGCAAATCTTCTGGGGCTAACCCAGATCCATAGATCTTCCTGGAAAGACTGTGTGGCATAGAAGGGCCATATCTGTCGTCCTCCCATTTCCACAAAATAAAAGTTTGTGTAAATGTCATCACTGGCCTCAGTGTCTATGTGACAGAAATCATGCGACAATTTGGCGGAACTGGACCCTGGATAGGCCCAGTCCGGCGGGGTCTTCATGTCGTCATTGATGATAATATTCCAGCACTCTCCATTAATGCACATTCTATATTCATAGAAAGACCACGCATGGAGCTGCTTGGCGTGCTCATAACAGCCCTGCTGCCGGTAAACCTGGATGTCATCGTATTCCGTAATGTAGGACTCTTGGTACTCAGGTTGATGGTGGTCACTGTGAGCCTCAGTATCGTTATTGCCTACAGCTGGGCCCCCTTGGTCATGCCCAGTCAATGGGCCTGCCTTCAGCGTGACCTTGTCACCGATCCAGTGCGCCATGGCTGTCCACACCGGAGTGCACAAAGGTATGGTAGAAATAGGGCCCTAAGAGCAGGAAGGGAGTACTGAGGAATCAGACACAAGTGACGGGCAGGGATGGATCAGAGAGTACACTTGAAGTACCAACAGTCATGGAAGGCAGAAGAGGTAGCAGAACAAGAAACAGCCAAAGGGAGGAGAAAGAGAAAGACAGAAGTTGGAGGGAAGGCAAAATAGAAAGAGGGTACTCCCCTGACACGTCTTTAGTCAGAGGAGTGAGAGCCCTGCACATGGGAAAGTGGTTTGAGCCACGGAAATGCGGCAGGGTATACGAAATTGCTGACGGATCTTAATCTGCAGAACGAACCAAGGTGGGCAAGTGTACTTATGAGTACCGCTGCTGATCGCGCTCTCTGTCATGACAGAACCTACCACTCCATTTTTGCCAGAATTTTCTCTCATTGCAATGTCACACTTGAGTATGATAGGCATATCCCCTGCTTCGAGCCGGTTGATTCATCAGAAACTTGTTAAACAGTGAGTAAGTTCAGTATAGCTGTGCTGTACATGAGCTATGGCTATGTACACCGTAGATGAATCTGTGAGGCCTATTCCTTCACGGGAAAGCTGTTCAAGCAGCAAACCATCAAGGCATCCAACCGTCTCTTCTTTGATCGAAAAAACGCAGGGGGTCCTGTGCATGAGTCCATTGGATATGAGGAGGTAGTCTTGAATTTGTCGTTCTTCAAGTCTGATTACTGCATGTGTAGCAGTGTGTGCAATCCAAGTCTCAGCATCAGGCATCCGTAGGTGTAGAATTAGCAGTTCAATGTTGTCTCCTATAACTCCAGATGGAGGTCTTTCTTCGAGCGGTATTGCGCCGATAACTCCATCCACTACATCTAAGTGCTTCATTTCATTACAATGGCAAGTCAGTGTGCGCTGTCAGGCTATGCCTCTATATCTAGCGTTAATTGCTTGAATACAGCAGGTGAACCCCAAGCTTGTGTACTGGAAAGTACTTGTGGGGATTGTGTTGCGAGGTAGCCATTCTTGAGCACACGATGGCAAGCGAAGGTAATGAGTGGTCCATAAATCATGCAAATTCCAAAGAACTGAGATACGGCAACTCGGTACTCTCCGGTCATCTCACTTTTTGTTACAGGAGGACGACTTCCGGCGCACTCAGCTCTCTGCCAGGGCTACGAATGGCCGCAGTGGGCTGATCCTGCACGAGGAGATTAAACCTTACGGCGGGAGCCACCATTCTGGCTACATCCGCCAGGAGCGTGCTTGGTTGGAGTCTTTGCACTGTTGAATTGGTACCAGTTGCTATGGTTGTCCATATGTGGAGGTTGGGTGGCAAACCTGACCGTAATAATAGAAAGGCAACTTCCACTACTGTATCAGCTGCTTGCCGCAGCGTCCTGCGGTCTAGAAAGCCGCCCAGGGTCGCAGTGATGTGTATTGTCTGAATGATCAGCCGAAATGGTCGGGCATCCATTGGTACTGGAGCAAGTCCCGCCTGATCGGTCATGCCTTCATCAGCAGCTGGAACCAAGTATAGGTGGTTGATCCACAATCCTCGTGTAGACGGACAACTAAAACCTGCCACTCGGACTATGTCCTCATACGATGCTGCTAGTGCTGTCAAAAGATGCTGTGTGATGCGCTGTCCATCCAGTTCAACCTGCTGAAGGTCAACTTCCAAGGTGTTATAGATCAATTGCAATCCGTGTGCTTCGTCTGGGAAAAAAGTGACACATCCACTCTGTACTAGCCGGACTGTGCGCCTGAGGTCTCGCACAGTCACCATAAGCTACGCTACACTAAGTAATGGTAAGATGAAAGGGGGGACCAGTAAAGTGGGAAACTTACGCGGTACCAACGCGAAGCGCCAACAAACAACGCGCCGTGAAATGAAACACCAACGAACAACTGCAGACATCCAGAACTGTAAAAGCAACTGACATGTACTGACATCCAAGTGAATCAACTGAAAAATCTGCAGTACGAAAATCCCACATGAAAATGTTGACTCAACCTCTCAGATGGTTCTCTCACTCTTTTTGTATCCAGTGGTGATGTCTCACGCACATCCCTCTAAGAGGTGGAGACTCGAACCATTGAAGCACGTCGGTATGTAGTGCACACAGCACTCTGCACTCAACGTCAGGGCCAAAACTTTTTGGCTGTAAAGCCACCAGAAAAATTTCCATTGCAATCCAGTCCAAAAGAAAATATGGTGAGTCCATTGAACTCCTGTAACTCCCCTCTGAACTTCTGTAAGGTTGTGCGCGAGGAGCGGCCACAACCCACCCTATGCAGAAAAAGGGTTGGGTCGGGCGGGACCTCAACTGAATAGGAGCCAAATCTCCAAATATAAAAGATGATTGTTGACAGCAACCAATCCAATCATCCAGTGATGTTGATTTCGAAGCGATGAACAGCAGCAAATGTACAACCTAACCTGCCTTGCCAGAAGTGAAAGTCGACAAGCATCAAACTGAAATAAAGCCAGCAAATCATCTGATGAAAACGCCACAGCAAAAACTTCCAGATCATTGACTGCCAAATTGTTCCACATGTTGCAACAGAGAAAACTGAAAATGATCGTGAAGACAAATTCAACGAAGCATCCAAAACAGCAACTGAAAATCATGTAAAGCAACGACATCGTTGAGCGGAAATCTGCACAAGCAAATAATGGCACCACTGACAGCTGAAGGATAAAATCCAGAGAAACTTGCCAGAGCAATCCCCACCCTCCCACCCGACCATTACATAGTTTCACATAGACACACTGGACAAGTCCAGTGATGCCTACGCTACACTAAGTAATGGTAAGATGAAAGGGGGGACCAGTAAAGTGGGAAACTTACGCGGTACCAACGCGAAGCGCCAACAAACAACGCGCCGTGAAATGAAACACCAACGAACAACTGCAGACATCCAGAACTGTAAAAGCAACTGACATGTACTGACATCCAAGTGAATCAACTGAAAAATCTGCAGCACGAAAATCCCACATGAAAGTGTTGACTCAACCTCTCAGATGGTTCTCTCACTCTTTTTGTATCCAGTGGTGATGTCTCACGCACATCCCTCTAAGAGGTGGAGACTCGAACCATTGAAGCACGTCGGTATGTAGTGCACACAGCACTCTGCACTCAACGTCAGGGCCAAAACTTTTTGGCTGTAAAGCCACCAGAAAAATTTCCATTGCAATCCAGTCCAAAAGAAAATATGGTGAGTCCATTGAACTCCTGTAACTCCCCCGTCTTCAGAGGAGTGAGATGGGCCGCCACAACACGTAGCCATCACCATGGTGATTTGTCAAACTTCTTCGGTCTGACCTTCGGGGCACGCACAGCCATTTCTTTGGCCCTGGCCTTTTCCAGCACGAAGGACTCCCTCGTCTGAACCAAGTCCTCAAGGACCTTAAATTGCAAATCGTCCCAGCAAGCATCAATTCTGAGACTCTCATCAAAGCCTGTGAAGTCCTCATTTGTTAATTGGTCTGCTTCCACATTTTCTTCTCTCGGCCTCCACCTCAATCCCAAACTCAGCCTCGATCTTGATAGAGAGGATGACAATTGCATGTTAATCCCCATCAGTGGCCACTTCGTAGTGGAACGCTTCTCTGTCAGTGACTCGTTCGCACGGTTGTCTGTCCCCCCAAAAAGGGAGACTTCAATATCTCTCCTCTCTTTCTGTTCCTTCAGCCACCCAAATAAGTGAAGGGCTGTGAGCGATGCTAACAATTCTGCTGAGGTTGACGCCCATTGTGATCCTTTGTCAGGTTTGAAAAGGTAAGGAACTTCCTTAGGGCCAAGCTTCAAAGCGAACCATCGTCTGGTCTTCAACTCCCAACCTGCCAACACTACAAAGGTATCAGTGCACTTTGCATCAGTTCTGAATTGATCCTCATGAAATCGTACTGGTCTTCTGGCAGATACCAAAAAGGTTTCTCTCAAGAATTCATTGCGCAGATAGTGCAACGTGATGATCACCGTCTCCGGCAAACGACATACCGTTCCAGCCGCCGTCACAGCTGCCCAGGAAAACAGCGGGGCAAGGTGAGGCTTTACCCATGTCAGCAGTTGGGCAATAAATCCAAGCCTCCCCAAAAACTCTGAAAAATCACGCGCCTGAACCACAAAATTGTTCTGACATGCCTTGTTCACCCATTGCACAATCCAATCGCCGCGCTTCGGGGATATCCCGACTTCAGTCAAATCATATCTAATCTGAAATCCAACGAACTCTGATGAGAACCCCCCTTTGAATTTGTGGTATCCAAACGGCACGCCTGTCATCTCAAAAGCAAGCAACCAAATCCATAGCCAGAGGAACTTCCTCTCCCCAGTAAATACTCCATGGAGGTCGTCAACATAAATCATGTGCATGAGCCAACGTTGTTGAAAAAGGAAACCAACAAACCTCCCTATCAGTGCCGCCAGCTTGAACCACCAATAAGGTGCGCTGGAGATCCCAAACGTCCCCGTCCTGTTCACCCAGATCGTCTCCGATTTGGAGTCTGCCTTGCAACACATGTAGCCCCAGTCACAGGCTCTCACTTTGACCAGTCTATGAGCTGCCCGTATATCTGCACTCACGCAAAACGGTGCTTCCTGTGATTCTGCAGTCTCCCTCACCACCGAGGCTATCTCAGCAGGACCAGGGCAATCGATCTTGTCCTGGTACTTAATGGCATGGTTCACCATCACAGAATGTGTCGCATCGTGAAGGGGACGAACTGTTCCATCGGGTTTCTGTATAGCGGCCATTGCTGCTACCCTGACTCTGTCTCCATACTGCTGCCGGAGTACCCCCAGCTTCGTCGGGTGCATCCGACCAAGTGCCTCCTCCTCATGAAACTTTTCTTCGAGTTCCTTCGATGAAATCTGAGCCGAAGGATAGTTCTGAGCAATTGCAGCAAACTCCGTATCATCTAAGCGCCGATGCTTCAATTTCGGCCGGCACACCTGTGGTGATCTTGGCAATGGTTTTTCAACACCCAAACAAACGCCAGTTGAAAATGAATCTTTTTCGTCCACCAACCACTTGCAATCAGGGTCATCGAAAACTTTGAGCCACTGTGACAACGCTCTAAGGTAAAATGGCTGCCCCTCGTCCCTGACTGCTGCGTCCAAAGGATCTGCAAGTAAAGAAAACCACTTAGACCGGACTCCAGCCAAAAGCTCATCTGAAAAAGGCGATCCATCCAACTTCCCAGTAACCAGTCTAAACGCTTCCCTGCGGACGTCAGGAATTGCAACCATCACTGCTTCCTCCAGGATAGCAAATGTGTTATCTGCCAGTTGTTTCATCACCTCAGACCTGTGGACACCTCTCTGAGATGGTTTCCAACGTGTTGGGCTGCAAAGACCAAATCCGTCAGTGAACTCCTTGTGAGTCCTATCCCACTCAACTGAAATGGGCCTGCCCGCGTTTCCACATGCAGCCATGTCGAACTGAACCTCGCTTGCTATGGCCATTGGCCCTTCGTCCACCTGTTGTCCACCAGTATCGCCAGTGTTGTTGTAAGCTGTAACAAGTTCCCCGTTGTTGTTGTAAGTTGTTCCATGCTCCCCTTCGGAATCCAAATCAATTACAATGCCAGACAAACTGTTGTCACACTTTCCAAGAGATTGTGAACCAACCCCAGGGACTCCCTGGGCTGCAGAAGAATTGGGCCTCTTAGCTGGTGGTTGTGGAGCCTCTGCAGAAGAAGTGTCTATGGCCCTCTTTCTGGATTTGTCCTTCACGCCCCCACCGTAGGATGCGCTAGCATTAAGGATCAAATCAGCAAGAAATTGGCAAAGCCTTGCTGGGTATGCTGCACTCGGACTCGTGTTCCACTGTGTCGCAGTCCTACCAATAAGCTTGTGGGTGTGCACATGACCGCACTGCTTTGGGAGCGGTCCCTTGTAGTAACCAAGCTTGTCAAACTTTGGCAAAGCAATAAGACATCTAGCATCCTGAACCTCCATGTTGGACATGAAACGTGTAGGTTTAGGAGTCGGTGCACCAAACTTGCATTGATGAATTGCAAATGATGTCGCCCCACATGCTGGAATAAGTTCCAAAACCTCAGGCCACTGCCATATCGACCCCGGCTGTTCACCTTCTACAGTGCCAAGGTCCTCAGGATGTTCCAAAATGAAGTGTCCTTCAGCCTCAGCGACAATGTGACATGCCTTAATGCACCTGTCAACAAAGGTGTTGGCCTCATCGACCTTTGCCCTATTTGCAGCACTCAACCAAGGAAAACCACGTGGCCAAGTCCGTGTCCTGAGGGGCTTTGGACCCGGATGCTGCCTGAACTGAAAGCGCGCCCTGCTGAAAGTGTTGCACGGCGGTGACACTATCAAAACAACATGTCCCTCCTTGAGGAGGCTGTAAATCCGATCCCAAAGTGAAGAATCAGTAAGGTCGTGTTGTGGTGACCTTTCGATGTCAAATTCATGCAACTCAAGCCGAACCCTTCCTGATCTTTCAGCCTTCTTCAAGAATGCCGCAATATCAGAATGGCGACGCTTCCCAGCAAACAGGTAAACCACCCTCAAAAGCGGAAGTTGCTCTGTTTTGTCAACATGTGCAGCCTCGCTGGGATTGGCTGCACAACCATCCTGTCAAGCAGCAGATTGCGACTTGACATGGTCCACTGCTTTGTGACTGCCATAGCATCCTTTGACCCTGCATTGATGGACCCTACCACAAGACCCGTCGCAGTCAGAACTGTTCCATGCAAAACACAACTCACGTCCATCTGGGGTCCTCCAAGCCAAACTCAAACCCTTCAAACGGGAATCCATGGTCTTCCCTTTTGATTTTCCCTTTGAAGATTTGCCTTTGCCCTTTGTAAAACCTGTAGATTGCTTTCCACTGAAACCACCCTTGCTGTTGTAACGTGGCCACTTGTGAGGCTGACTCTGAGTCTCTGACAATGCCGCCTTGAGGGCCACCGGCGTCGTGAAATAAGCTTCTTTCAAATCAGGATCACGGATCACTGCAAGCAACGACTCAGCCAATGTGTATCCTTCCAAAACTCTTTTCATGGCCTCCTTCCTCAACTTGTGCTCGTAGGCAAGCACCACTGTCCAATCAGGTTTCACCTTCTGTTGTAATGTTTCAGATGAAGCCGATGGTATCTGGATTCCAAATACACGATCCCCCAAGATGTACTCAGTAAACTTCAAAAATGGCTCGGCAGTCAATCCATGTAACCAGTGTTTTGCCCGATACCTTGAAGCCATGCATAACCAAGAGTACATCTCAATTTTCATTGTCCTCCGGTATTCCTCCGTCGTAGATGGCATCTTACCCTTAGTTTTCGTCCTGGTGACCCTGATATGCCCAGAGGAATCAACTGCTGACTGAATCTGTGCGTTCGTGGAGGAATGCTTTGAAAGGATTTCGTCTAAGGGTGCAGCTGTTGGCTCATTGCACTCGGTCTCCTCCGCCTTGATCGAAAGATAGTCAGTGGATGGGCATTCCTGGTCCCCAAGTGTTCCATGAATCGCCTCAACAGCTCTGAGCATGGCCTGTCTCTCATGAATCTGTAACACTCGGGGCTGACCCAATACCTTCGCCTCCGCCTTCAACTCAACCTCTTTAGAGAGGTACTCTTTAGCAGTCTCCCATGCAGCTACTATTGATGCAATCTGTGACCGCCTTTCAGGTGTGTCCTGTGGAATTGCAAAATCTTGTACACAAGCAGTCCTGATCGCGGCCCTGTCGTCTCCCAAGGCACTGAATTTCCTAAGATTCCCATAGTGACGGGCAATTCCAACCTGATGCTCAAGACTCACTCCAGCTTCACCAAGAATAAACTGAAGGTCTGAATCCATGTGTGTTTGCACATACTGTCTCTGTGCAACTGGGTCCATTGCGCCACGTGTCGAAGAGGCTCGTTGGCCCGGACAAAGTTGAAATGAACCCACAACAAAATTCAAGCAACACAAGTGAACCCGACGCCTCAAAACTGGCAATGGGAATGAAAGATAAAAGCCCTAGCCTCAAACCTGGCATTGGGGTCAAATGACTGACAGAAAAATTTTCATGGGAACTTAGGCATCTGAATGCAAAGTTCTGCTGGATGCTGTCATCTCTCAACTGATGGTACCCTGAGGTCTGAACCATCAAAATATCCGGTGATATGTCAAAACATTGCACCGACTGTTCAAGTTGCGTCCAAACGCAAAATACATGCCAATGTGATGACTGCACATGAATCAACAGTAAACCTATCACCTCAAGCCTCACAAACGTGCAACTGAACACCGAATGAGAAAGAAGAAACAAATCCGACCTTGACACCTAAGAAGCCTGAACAAAAGACCCAAGAAACAAATCAACCAGCGACCGACAGAAATCCCCGGTGTCTCAACACCGACTTTTGCAACTGTCCAGACAGCAGCGATCACTTCGGTACCTCAAGTGGGTCCTCTCCACCTGCGTCACTGCCTGATGCAGTTGACGACGAAGAAGCCGTCGAGGAAGATTGATCCCCTTGCTCCTTTCCACACTCCGTCAACATCCTCTTTTTACATCCTTGACAAACAGTGTCAAAATCGTCACTGTTGACTTGGTCCAAATAGACCACTTCGCAACACCTGTCTGGCTTCACAAAGCAGCCACTGAGGTGCAAACGCCTCAAGCATGTCCTCCTGGAAATGGTCACAAAGTACTTGGTGGTGCTCTCACCGCAGAGAGCCTCTTTCTGTGCCAGGGTGGCGACCTTGTCAGCAAGCTCAATGTCCCCGCTGACATCTCCATCAAGTTCTGGCCAGTCACCATCAGCCACCTCCAATGTTGGAAAAATTCCACCAAGTGAATGAATCCCTGACCAGTCACCCAAGACAGTGTGGCGCTTCCGAATACGATTGGGATTTGCACCTGTCACTTCAGCTGCATCACACAGCCGCTGAATGGGCTCGTCTTCAAAGTAAGGCCCATTGGTGCCATCAACCAAGCAGCGATTGACAGCCTTCTGAATCTTGAACACCACCTGCCTGGATGTCCTCACGTATTCTTCCGATGCAACCATACCCATGGACCACCGACCAAGAAAAGCCCTCTCGTCTCGAGAGAAACCTGTCACTGCTGCCACCGATGTCACAAAGTTGCGTGAGCTGTGACCTGAAAAGAAACTCTGAAGCCCATCAGGAAGCAGCAGGACATGTTGCATCAGCTCCCATCCAAGACCAGACCGCCTCGGACATCCCAACGTGCTCAAAAGCTTTCCAATCAAAGAACTGAGCCCTGCAGGTGTCACAAATTTGCGTCTCACCTTTGTCCAGTCCTTCGAAGGTTCCATCACCATGTAGTCACGATGAAACTTGAATTCATCAGACTCCCAGATTGTGAATCCTGCTCTCAGCCAATCTTCACCTGTCAGTGACACTGTCCTGAAGACATGGACAGCTACCTCCTTCTGAACCTTGTCTGGCCCAGTGGTCTTTGACTTCCCCAAGATCAGTTTCAGGCCGTAGTTTGACAAGAAGGACCGACGAGGGATGATCGCCTGCACATCATCGCATCTCATCGCCCCCCAAACCATGACCAACACGATCCAAGCAAGCGCCTTTGCAAAAATGGGGATCGCTTCACTCTGCTCAACAACTGTCAGCTCTAATGCTAAAATCATTGCAACTGTGAACATCTCTGCAGGTTTTCGTGGTGCAGCATCCTCACAAAGCTCTGCTGTGACTTCACATGTCCCTTCCACAAAGGGTCATCTGAAATTCTCATCACATCTGGCACCCTCCCCAACTGCTCCAGCATCGCTAATGTGACGCTAAGAGACTCTGGGATGGTGCGACCACATCCATCGTCCACACGATGCTGAACATAGTCAATGACATCCTTGACTGACTCCGGGAACAAATATCCCCTGTGGAGCTCCAACCAACGCTCAAAGGGCTTCCAAATTTTGTATCGTGCCTTCAACGTGTTGGCACGGCGTGCAGCGAAGATATGCACCCAGGCCGCCCCAGGGTCATCCAACGTGGTGATGAGGTCCACCACAGGTAGCTTCGCATTGATCATCACCTGTGCCAACAGAAGTGAATACTTCCGTCTCTCAGTTTCAAACCTCTTGGACCTCACATCAGGTGGATCTTCACGATATTTCCGCTGTTTGCGCTTCGAATGCATCTCCAAGATGCACTGAACGCTGGTCTTCGTCAATCTCTGAAACTCGTCATGCAAGTTGAGAACATTTGGCTGGGGCAAAACAAAGAGTGCAGAAGAAACCAATTCCTTTCTGAAACGTTTGAGAGGCCGATCTGAATCCACCTTCCAATTCATCAAGATGGCTACAGAGTCACGTAACTCCTCATCAACCATGTGTGGGAACTCAGATCTAAGAAGATCGCCGCAGTCCTGGTCATCATCAAATGCTGCCTCCAACCGCCATGGCCTTCCAAAGACCCGCTGAAGGAATGCCAGTACACCTGGCTCGACCTGCGGCCACTCCAGTTCCATCTGCACCCATGAACCTACGTCCAATTCATGAATTGGATTGCGACAGCGCCCCAACCTACCTCAACTGAATAGGAGCCAAATCTCCAAATATAAAAGATGATTGTTGACAGCAACCAATCCAATCATCCAGTGATGTTGATTTCGAAGCGATGAACAGCAGCAAATGTACAACCTAACCTGCCTTGCCAGAAGTGAAAGTCGACAAGCATCAAACTGAAATAAAGCCAGCAAATCATCTGATGAAAACGCCACAGCAAAAACTTCCAGATCATTGACTGCCAAATTGTTCCACATGTTGCAACAGAGAAAACTGAAAATGATCGTGAAGACAAATTCAACGAAGCATCCAAAACAGCAACTGAAAATCATGTAAAGCAACGACATCGTTGAGCGGAAATCTGCACAAGCAAATAATGGCACCACTGACAGCTGAAGGATAAAATCCAGAGAAACTTGCCAGAGCAATCCCCACCCTCCCACCCGACCATTACATAGTTTCACATAGACACACTGGACAAGTCCAGTGATGCGTCTTGTGCTGCTTCCAAACTATATAGGATCATCTTTCGCTTGGTACCTTTGGGCTCCCGGTGCAGGGCCACGCCAAAAAGGCGAAAACCACGCAGAAGCATGGCCCCCCGCAAGCAGCAGGCGCACCCTGGGGCGGTACCCTTTCCACACCATGCGCCGATGGCCAACCCAGGACAGGTGGATCCACTCACCGGGTGACAAGGAGACTGTGAACATTCATTTCCCGAGGAGATCCACTCACCGAGTGACGTGGAAACCGTGCGGACACGGAGACCATTCATTTCACCCAAGATGATCACACCTCAAGGGACGTGGAACACAGAAACCAAATGTCACCACACAAGATGATCACCACCACACCCAAGTAAAGCCAACGCATGATGCCCCCATAGGTTCCCGGACTCCAGCAGATACCGGAGAAGACGATCCAAGAAAGGAGTGGAAAGTCTTAGTCACCTTTTCAGTGACCCCAGTCCCTATGGAGCACAGCTCGGACCTTGGAGCCAAGAAACAAGGTCCTTACTGTGGCCAGAGTGTACATTGAGCCCACTCTCCCCGAAGGATGAGAGTGAACCGGTCGGTGGCCCAGTCGTTAGCGATCCCATGTATCCCAGTGGGATACACCTGTCTTGCGACAGGCCCCTAACACTGTTAGGGAGGAACCGACGGTCTTGTCCACCGCGAGCTTAGCTACCCAACGGTGAATATTGACCGTTAGCCAACGGGTTGCCCCGTTGACCCCTCCTCGAGACAAGTCCCCAAGTCTCTAAGAGGTTCACCGACCTTGCCTGTTCCCCCGTGTCATCATTGGGTGTTGCTACCCTAGACACAAGGTAAGGTGAGACCCGTCGGTCCCGTACCACGTGTGTACCGATCGGTCCGGGAGAACCCCGAGATACCGCACGATCACCCAAGGATGTGCGCAAACACAAACGAGGGTGTGACATGAGGAGCAACCCAACATGTCAACACACGCCGACTAGGGGGTACCAAGGTACCGTGTTAATTCACGGTTCGTTAGGGACGGGGGCCTTCAGCAACTCCCCTGCGCTATACTATAGTTTAACGTCCCCCCGGACCCTCTCGGGTCCACCTCCCCCTGTTGCCGGCATGGTATTGGGGACCCCATCCCCCTACCCACCGGCATAGAGAGCTGGTGTTCTTCTCCGCGAAGTCGCACATACTCCATGGTGGTACGGGCAGAAAGAGTGGAGGCCCACTACATAAAGATTGCTAGTTTGCAAATACCGTGAAAGGGACACTAGGATGGCAATTGGTGGATGTTGTTGTGGGTCAGTTGCAATCCCGACACGTCTTTGGTCGGAAAGACAACGTGACCGCCTATGGTTACCGTATTTCATGTGAGGACATGTCACATATTGGTGCATGTCGGTGATAACACTAGGGTGACAGTCTCACTGGGGTACTGAGTCAGTATGATGGGAAGGATAAATTCAAGTTCCCGTCCAGTTGTCACTGTACCTACGCTCAATTCTGATCTTTACACCCTTGGATTAGAGATGAGCATAGGACACTGAGTGAGTTATCCATTGTGTATGCATTAATATTAGAAAAGAAGTACAGACATGTAAAATGAGGGTTGAGGGTAACCCTAAGCCCGTCCTTGAACATCGTGTACACACGCCCTCACGTAGAAATGTTATCTAACTTGCTAATAGGTGTGAAAGGGATATTGATTATTTGACATACCAAAATAGGTGGGATGTGATGTACCTGTGAGCCAATAGGAAAACATGTACATACTTCAGTCACCGCCGGCACTGTCAAACAGAGGATTGCTGGACCCTAATAGGTGAGCAAGTAGTTCAGTTCACATAAAAATTATTTACAAGACGTGCGAGAATCACCGTATGCAAGGCTGTCCCGAGAGCTCCTCTTTTGGTTGCCTGACGATCAACTTCGCTGGTCTTCTGCTGACTCATTGTGCCTCACAGGTCATTGAAAAAGGTTGCATACGCTTCGCTTAGAGCATGCCAATTTTGCTGTAGTCGATAAAGTGCTCGGTTGGCTTCTTGTACAAGGTCATTATGTTGCCTCTGCAGCACTTGGATGCCTTCGCTGAGTTGGAAGATCCTATCCGCTTCGTCTTCATGATTAGGAAAAAGGCCTGCTATTGCGTCTTGGCACTCTTGCGAGAGCCTAAAATCAAAGCAAGGTCGATCATCTTCATGGACAGCACTGTTAATTCGTGCTTGTTCACTCAAAGCGATTCCTTCAAGGGTTGGCTGCAGTGTTTCAATGCGATTGCCTAGTATATTGTAAGCATGCATGATTTCTGCAATAATAACACATTGCTGGGCATTCTTTGCAACTATTGCAAAACGTCTGGAGTTGGCCCAGCATGCATACCCGTTGTGTCGCACCTCTGCTGCAAAGGGATAGAATCCTCCGTATCCTGTAATATTCAACCAAGCCTGCAGGTAAGCTTCGTCACACTCCCGAGGTATGACCTTATGGAATCCATGGGGCAATGTAGCCCGCATCGTTACTGTCGCCTCCTCCGGGAGCCATGACTCATCTTCAGCCCATAGGATGTTCCATTTTTCACAGTTGAGCCATGTGCAGACTTCCATCAAGTTAAATGCCCTGCACTCTATGTTGACATTGTGGCATAGCCTATGGATAGGGTACTTGCCACGATGTAGGTTCGTCACCATATTTGGGGTGCTCTGAATGGTTTCAACGTTATCGCTTGGTACCTTTGGGCTCCCGGTGCAGGGCCACGCCAAAAAGGCGAAAACCACGCAGAAGCATGGCCCCCCGCAAGCACCAGGCGCACCCAGGGGCGGTACCCTTTCCACACCATGCGCCGATGGCCAACCCAGGACAGGTGGATCCACTCACCGGGTGACAAGGAGACTGTGACCATTCATTTCCCGAGGAGATCCACTCACCGAGTGACGTGGAAACCGTGCGGACACGGAGACCATTCATTTCACCCAAGATGATCACTCCTCAAGGGACGTGGAACACAGAAACCAATAGTCACCACACAAGATGATCACCACCACACCCAAGTAAAGCCAACGCATGATGCCCCCATAGGTTCCCGGACTCCAGCTGCTACCGGAGAAGACGATCCAAGAAAGGAGTGGAAAGTCTTAGTCACCTTTTCAGTGACCCCAGTCCCTATGGAGCACAGCTCGGACCTTAGAGCCAAAAACAAGGTCCTTACTGTGGCCAGACTGTACATTGAGCCCACTCTCCCCGAAGGATGAGAGTGAACCGGTCGGTGACCCAGTCGTTAGCGATCCCATGTATCCCAGGGGGATACACCTGTCTTGCGACAGGCCCCTAACACTGTTAGGGAGGAACCGACGGTCTTGTCCACCGCGAGCTTAGCTACCCAACGGTGAATATTGACCGTTAGCCAACGGGTTGCCCCGTTTTTTTTTTTCTCCGATTTGGCCGATTCGCACTAGGCACGGTCCTTACAATTGCGTAAGCGGTGAAAAGCAGTAATGTATAGGACACGTGTGGTCCAAAAACTCTGGCAAATCATCACGAGGAACAAACCAAACAAAACAAAAACGCAACCAAAAACGACCCGCAAATCCCCCAGCCAGATTTGCGTTTCGCCACAAAGCAAAACAGCGAAGCAACAAAGAACGGGGCAGGGCCCAACAAAAACCAAAACAAAAACTTGAGATTTGCCTTGGATACAGTGACCTAAGCCACTGTATCATCCTCAAAAACATGCAAACTAATTAATTGCGGCAGTGCATGGAGTATAGTACACGATCGTCCAGACTGTCTTACCTGAGAAAAGAGAAGAGAATCCAGTATTGCAGGCAGACTGATGTGTAGCACGACAGAGGCCGCCTGTATGGACGTCTTGTTAATAGCAACTTCGCATCGCTGCTGTTCACCCTGTATCGTTCAGCGTATGCACGGCAGTCTGTTCCTGTCAATATGCACCACCGCAAGGGATTGTAATCTATTTCCCCCCCTAAGTGGGGAGGAGAGCACTGACAGCAGGCAAAATGGTGTGAGCACTCGCAGGAACCGTCAGATCGCAATGGGCCCAAGACCCTAAGGCCGTGGGTAAAAAGGTGGCTATAGGCCTGACCGGCACAATACGGCCATGACAGACAGATGAAGCTTCCGACCATAGCATGGGCTCGTGAGCACTTCCAGTATGATACTGCCGCTATGGATGCAAAAGTCGCATTCGCATTGCTGTCAAACTCGTTCCCCTAAACTATGAAGGTTGAAGTGGTTCACTGCGTCAGCACTAGGTTCTCAAACAGGAGTCACTAGGCGTCATCGTCCCAGCAAGTCCTGCGGAGAGGACCAGATGCACCGTATGTTAGCTGTGTATTCCAGACCAGGCCACTCTCTCCCACCGAGTGGGCCATTGCCAGGGCATTACAGAATATCCGCACAACGAACCATGTGGGCAGGCTTTGCTGCACTCGGGCGCTCCAGACTGAACTGCAGGAAGCACA